CTTAATATAATTAATGTGAGTCTTTTTTTTTTTCTTTCCTTGTTCTGATTTTTGTTATATTGTTGTTGACGTGATTTGGAAATTTAGAAGTTTTTTTTTTATTTTATTTTTGTAGTGGCTGCTGGAGGCAGGTACTGAGGGAGAGGAGTAAGGGAAGAGAAAGACGGGGGGAGGGGGGGGGGGGAAGGGGAAAGATGAGGCGAAATCAGGAATAAATTGAAAAACAGGATACAGCTTTGGAATGTAAATATTTCAGTAGAGGAAGATGGGGATCTAAAGAGAGAGAGAGAGAGAGAGAGAGAGAATGAGAATGCATGCATCCACATTCTTGAGTGTTGTGCCCGACTAACCTAAAAGCTTCTCTCCTGATTGGCTTGTTAAGTTTCAAGCCTATTATCTACACGAGGGACAATAAGGCTGCGCATCACTTGTACGCCACCATGATACATTAATCCCTGGAAGTCTGCTGTCTAGGCGAAACGTTTCTTAACGATATCCAGCCTTAGATATTGTACATGTCTTAGTAATGGAACCCAGGAAAGGCTAGCAAAGTCTAGCAGTATGGCTTGGTTTACCATGGCGTCTTCTAGCATGCAACCCAAAACAGTCGACTAACACCTATGAATCTGTTTATAATACTGAGTGAACTAGAGGCAGCACCTGTAAGAAGACTTAACCCATATGCTACCTTCCTTCTTCAACCCGGTAATCGAAACTAGGTTCATTTGCTTGTGATCCGAAGACTAGTCCAAGAGCTACCCGTCTGCTTTCAGAGCCATCATAACTTCATTCCGTCCAACCTCGTGCGAGCTCTGAGACAACAGCAGTTATAAATATTTACAGCCAGTGGTACCCCTCAAGGAGAGTGCCCTGATCCTTTGAAAAACTCTTGATTAGAGGGTTTGGAGCCACCCTCCCATTTCTTCAAATCAAACCTTATTACCTTCCATTCCCCAGACGCTCTGACCTTCGCGAGTTAGCGTTTCCCTATGAATAATAATAATAATAATAGCAGTAATGGTGGTGATACAACAAATCTTCAGTTATCTTTTGTATGATTTGTATAGCCATGGGTTCTTATGGCGGAAATGGTGGTGTGGGTTATTGGGCTGCTTTTCTTTTTACACCTTGCATTAATCGCATAAGATTATGGGTTGTCATGATGACGTATTGCTCGAATGACTGCTTGTTTATCTCTTCTGGTTATAGCTAGGACTTAGATTGGCTTTCTAGCCAATTAAGACAAGTCGCTAGCGAGAAATGATTGTTGTGTTGGGTTAAGAGAACTGTCGTTTCCTGGGCCAGTCTTGCGTAGGGAAATGTCAGAGTTCAGTTAAACACGTCCCTGCCCCCTCCTGTCCCAGGGATCACGCTTCTGTGCAGCTGCAGACGTTGGAGATGGGATGAGTGCGCAGAATCAAAAGGATGACCACAAGGACGAGTGCGCAGAAGCAGGATGACCACAAGAACGAGTGCGCAGAAGTAGAAGGATGATCACAAGAAGGAGTGCGCTTTAAAAGTTGAAGGATGAACACATGAACGAGTGCTCATTAGAAAAATGACCACAAGCTCGAGTGAGGAGGAGGAGGAGGAGGACTAGCACTCGGGAACAGCAAAAGGACCAGTGCGCAGGTGCATCGGGAAGACGAATGCACAGGAGCAGAAAAACGAATGCGCAGGCGCAAAAGACGAATGCGCAGGTTCCGCACAAGGACTAGTGTTAGAGGACATAAACCAGCTGGTGATGATTTTAGAGGAAATGTGAGAAGAAAACAAAGTTTAGAGCCCATCACACGTGTCATGTCTACACCCCAAGTGTCATGTCCACACCCGAAGTGTCATGTCCACAAGTGTCGTGACCACACCCCAAGTATCAATGTCCACACCACAAGTGTCATGTCCACACCATAAGTAGTGTCATCACCACCCAATAGTGTCATCACTCAGTAGTGTCATCACCACCCAATAGTGTCATCCCCTCACCACAAGTGTCCCCACTACCTACAAGTGTCATCACCTCACCACAAGTATCATCACCATCCAGTGGTGTCATCACCCAGTAGTCATCACCACACATTTCCTCTCACCACTCCCTCTTCCAGATGACAGCCGCCGCAACACAATCTGGAAATAAAATCATTTCAAGCAGAGAAACTGTGTATAAAAATCATAATAATATATAACAATTGGATATATTTTTAGTTGTCTTCTTGGAAGTCAAGCAACTCCAAGATTTATAGACTGAATTCAAAAGCTGAAGGATACTGAGCTTTATTCTTATCTGCAGGAAGGTTCATTTTATTGAGTATACACAGAGGCTGTGGAACATTGAACTTTATTTATCTCTGGAGGAAGGGCCATTTTAAAGAGAGAACTCAGACGATGAAGGATATTGAGTTTTACTCATCTCTGCAGGAAAGAAAAATTTATAGGAAGGGTAGAGGCTGAAGGATATTGAGCGTTATTTATCTCTGCATGAAAGACCATTAGACTGAACCCAGTTGCTGAAGGATGCTGAACTTTATTCACCTCTACACGAAAGATCATTTTATAGACTGTATTTAGAGGCTGAGGAACATTGAGCTTTATTCATCTCTGCAAGAAAGATCCCTTTATAGGCTGTTTTAAGTTATTGAGGATACTGAGCTTTATTTACCTCTGGAGGAAGGACCATTTTTATCTGCCAGACGCATGTGTGCCTAGGGACCACACTAATATTATTTTAAGATATTATTAAATATTAAATAATAAGTATTTAACCACCTGGGCTTCACGAGTCGAGTGTAATATTATCCTCTGACCTCATTCTGTCACTGGAATATCTAGATTGTTGGGAAATGGTTCTTGATCCAGGGAACTGGAGATATTCTCGCCTTGAATTAAACTTGATTTTCTGCTATTCCTCGGGGACTGTGTGACACACGTACGAGTTTAGTGCTTCCCTATGGCTAATAATAAGCACGTCATGTCAGCCTTCTGAAGGTAATCTGATCACCTCAACGTTGTGGGTCACCTCTCTGCCACTCCTACTTTTGTTTACAATTCCCTGCCTTCGCTACTCTTCCATTATCTCCTTCTATCCGTTTTTTTTCCACTTGCCTTCCATCGTTTCCTTTCTTTTACCTTCCTTCCGCTGCGTTCCTTGCACCTCTATTTTTTCGTCACCTCTCTTCCTCCAATTCAGATTAGCGTCAGAAATGTTCCCATTTCTCTGATGAATTGACTCTCTCTCTCTCTCTCTCTCTCTCTCTCTCTCTCTCTCTCTCACTTTTCCGTCTCCCTGTCAAGCAAACAACCCTTCTAGCCATTACTGTATATCGCATTCGTAATACTCTGAGAGATCATATAGTGTTTTATTATTATTTTTATTAATATGGGGAACGTTAAGCCCGTAGGGACTATACAGAACCTGGGTGGGGGATGGAAAGCATTCAGGCTCGCTTCAGGGAAATGGAGCACAGATCCAATTCCCTAGATCAAGAGCCCTCACTAGCATCAAGGAGCCTTCCTTGATGCTGGTGACGGACTCTTATAGCATTGCTCAGTTTTATCTCGGTTACCCAAGTGAAGAAATATTTGTAGAGTCCTGAGCCACGGATGCCTTCGCCATCAGTTTCAAGGCCCAGCTAGTGTTTTAGACTCAGTCACAACCACTAGTTCAAAGAGTATATATATATATATATATATATATATATATATATATATATATATATATATATATATATATATATATATATATATATATATATATATATATACATACATACAAAGTTGTGTGTATCCCTCGGTGTATATACAGTAAGGTTTACCTTAATTCCTGTTTAAGGGATTAACGTATTCTTACCAGTGGTGAAAAGGTAGTGATATGCAGCGTTAATGGCTCTTTGAGGACATGATTAGCTCTAAATATAATTAACCAGTTGTACGTGTATGGTATACATTGCCGACTAGATGAAGAATTAGACACGTGGTCAACATTTGGGTATCTTTTTGTAGACGTTCCGCCATCCAGTGACTTTATCAATACAAAGTCAAGGACACAATTCTTCTGTCTTCCGGCAATGTTCTTGAATTTATATTGATTGTCACTGGATGACGTAACGCCTTTAATAAAGTTACCCAGATGTTGCACAGGTGTCTAATTCTTCACCTAATTAATCAGCCAAATGCTAGTTCTATCACCACTGTTACAGGAAGTAACAGTGGTGATAGAACTAGCATGATTGATCACGAAGGTGTTCCTTATTTTGCGCATTGTGCTAATGAACACGTTAAATAAATAAAAAAAACAACTATATACAGATGTTTATGGCTCGTAGTGTATATTCAGTTATTCAGTAAGTGCGTCGTTGTGAATAATGTCTTCATGAGAAATACCTCCGGTCTACATTCATGCATTTGTATATACTCTCCAACGCTGAAGATAAATGGACTTTTACACGGCTGTGTGCGTGTTCTTACTGCATTATGATAGCAAGAAGAACTTATATATATATATAAATACGTTCATATATGTCGTGCCGAATAGGTAAACCTTGCGATTTTGGCTTAAATAGCAACGCTTGTCTTGGCAAATAAGGCAAGTGAAAATTTGTGTATGTAATAATTTCCCCAATATCATTCTGAACCTAACGAAAAAAATATATTTGATTGTGTATGGTTTATTATTAAATTATTGTAAACATATATAAAATATATTTAGTTGGATTAGACTAAATTAAATTGCGCTTGTTATAATAAGTTAGGTAAGTTTACTAAGGTTCTTTTGGTACAAAATTATAAACTTTTACATTAAAATAAATGAAAGAAATTATCTTTAATTCACAGTTTTTACACATTTTTAAAGTTTTCATAGGCTTTTTTTTTTAGGAAATTTAACTTTTCCTCGGTAAAAATTTCATTATTTTTTAATTATACGCCTTCTAGATATTTTAGCCTATACATTGTGCCGTGTGTGTGGCCTAACACCTTGGTTAACCGGCCTATATCTTGTGTTGCAGGCGGCGCTGGTGTGGCCTCCAGGTGGGGAGGGGTCGCACAACAAGGGGGCGGGGGTCGCGGGCGGCGTGGGCGGGTCCTCACCGCCCACGTCCCAGCAGGCGGCACCGCAGGGCCTGGTCCACTGGATGAGCGTCATGGCGGAACACATGAACAATCCTCACCACGATGCCATGCACTACATGTGGAATGGCGTCGAGGTAAGTACAGCTGTTCCCTCTCTTGTTATGTGTACGGATAGCACACACACACACACACACACACACACACACACACACACACACACACACACACACACACACACACACACACACACACCACATACACCATACACACACACACACACAACATACATACACACACACATACATACACACACACATACACACACACACATACACACATACATACACACATACACACACACACATACACACATACACACACACACATACACACACACATACACACACACATACATACACACACACATACACACACATACACACACACACACACATACACACACACATACATACACACACACATACATACACACACACATACACACATACACACACATACATACACACACACATACACACACATACACACACACACCCACACACACACACACATACGTACGTACGTTCCAGACCCAGAAAGTTACTCTTCACAAATCATTTTTAAGTCAGAATATTGGTTAATTAAACTTGTAAAATAACATTTACAAGCAAGAAATCATACATGAACCTGCAAGAATTTTAACTCCTGTTGCCACATTAGCAATTTTTATTGCTCCTTTATTTTTGGTAATAGAAAATAAAGTAAATGTTGACATGCCATATTGCTTGGCTACGTCAACAAGACGTATTCCATTTTCGTGTTTTGAAATACGTTCATTTTTGGTTCAGTGGTAGTTCTTACAACTTTCCTTTTAATTTTTTTCACTCTTATTCGGGGCCATGATCACTTATTTTCAATAATTAAATATAAATAAGTTATACGAAAAATAACAATTAAATGACAAGACCTAAAATATCATGCGTCGTTCCGAATATGCATCTGCGAATATCGGTACTTTTTTCCCCCTTGATTTTTTTTCCGAATACTGGATTTTACGAATAAAGATGCATCCAAATACAGAGGTTCTACTGTATATCGTAAAAGAACCTACATATACAAAATATAACAGATAAATAATTTGATCAACTCATCTTACTCCTGTTTCTCCTGTCACCTTGTAGTAAATAGGTACCTGGGTTTTTGGTAATTTTTGTGGGTCATAGCCAGGGAATGACTCAAGGATCGAAACAAAATTAACCCTCATTGATTGGTTTTCTTAGGTTAATCTAAATGCGTACTCATTCATTATTAATAATACGTGATATGTCCTCCGTGCCAGGATAGGAAACACTGCACTCATCTTGTTTTGATGAATGAGACATTTATGACACATCTGGGTATCTTTATTCTGGAAACGTTCTCTCCAGCCAGTGGTTTCTTCGGTCCAGTGGAGAGAAAGGTGAGTTGAGGTAATCAGTCCCTCAGCCTTGAGTCGATGTGTTCAGTCGATCAACTTTGCTATCAAGATGATGTTACTGCTTTATTTATAATATAGTTGTGTTCACGGCGTCTCTACTTTCAGCCGAGACAATTTTACACTTCCTTGTATATCTCTCGCTTCAGTACGTTGTTATGGTTGCGTCTAGATTTGGTACCTGGCCCACAAATATCTTTCATGTATATATTATGAGGTATCTCTTTTCTTCACTCCAGAGAGTATATTTTAAGTACTTTGAAACAGTCCAGTAGTTTAAATATTTTATTGGTTCTGTGAGAGCAGTAAACAATCTCTGTACAGAGTTGTGAGCATTGATATATGTTCGAAACGAGAGAGCACAAGTGATTAGAATAGTGTCACCACTTGCATTATATCTAGTATCAATTATTCCTTTAATTTTCGACCTTATCATTTTTCTAACCTTCGTGGCATTTTCCTTATTGAGCTCTCTAAGTGAGAGTTCATCTGATATTATACCCAAGTTATTTACATGTGATACTTGATCAAGACACACAAGCAGCAACTGAAAATTTTATTAAGACTACGTTTCGCCAGCATAGTAGCTTTTATCATGTTCCTTTCGCTCTTTACCGTGTCTTCTACAAAGCGACTTTCATGCTAATTGTGGAATCGACCGCAAATGATGACACGAAGCTAGGGCCAGTGATTTGTTTCTGCATCTGCTAAGAGCATGAGAAACGGCAAAAGTCGCCAAGACTGTGTCTTTTAGTAATGAACTCTTTGACTCAGCTAAGTCTTGACTGCATTGTCTGTTAATGTTCTGTTCTATTCACCAGAAATATAAATATCAGCTTTCTTATTTTTCTTGTTAATTTATCACTTCAGGACTGTATTTATCAAATCAGTGTAGGGATACTAATACACACACACACACACACACACACACACACACACACACACATATATATATAATATATATATATATATATATATATATATATATATATATATAATATATATATATATATATATATATATATATATATGTCGTGCCGAATAGGCAGAACTTGCGGTCTTGGCTTAAATAGCAACGCTCATCTTGCCATATAGAACAAGTGAAAATTTGTGTATGCAATAATTTCGCCAAAATCATTCTGAACCTAACGAAAAAAATATATTTCACTGTGTTTGTTTAGTATTAAATTATTGTAAACAAATCTAAAATATATTTAGTTGGGTTAGGCAAGTTTTCTAAGATACTTTTGGTGCAAAATTAAAAATTGTTACATCAACATTAATGAAAAAAATATATCTTTAAACGTATAAGAGAAAATTTCAGAAAGGACATAATTTTAAATGAGTTCTTGCTAATTGACCAGTTTTACATATTCGGCACGACCACACACACACACACACACACACACACACACACACACACACACACACACACACACACACACATATATATATATATATATATATATATATATATATATATATATATATATATATATATATATATATATAAATATATATAGTGATCCTGTAGTTAAGTTACTTTCATTAGAATTAAGACTATTCAATTTCTAGAGTAAATTTTCCTGAATACAAAATTTCCGGCTTGCGTAGCTAATTTTTCTAGATAATAAATTTACGCATCTATTAATTTCATTTTAAATTACTCTATTATCATGGCCAAGGTTAATTACAAGCAGTGCTAAAAATTAGCGTTCATAAAAATGCAGGTTGCTTAGTAATCTTGGGACGTTAATGTAATAATGTAATATCATCTTATATTGCATATTGAGCCTAATATAAGATTTAACTTTGAAATTACTAGTGTTGTTCAGTTCCCCAGACCTTCGTGTGCTGTTTATCTGTGTGCATGAACTGGGTTGCACTGCTCACTTCACAGGAAGCTAATCTTTCTACCAAAACGTAATGGTCTTAAGTGAGTCATATAACACAGCAAGTGTTCTATAATCATAGCAAGAACCCTGTTGCACAATTCTTGCATGAAGCACACTGTGATACGCGCACACGCACATACGCACGCACACGTGCACACACACGCACGCACACGTGCACACACACGCATACACACACACACACACACACACACACATTCATTTATAAATCCTTTACTTCCATAACCACAGATGAATGCACCATTATGGAACAAGAACTAGTTACTGTATCAACAAAGTGACGTGCCAGTAGATCACGACGACACCTCAGTCTGCTTAACCCTTTATGAAACTACGTTTCGCTCAATTAGAGCTCGAGTGAAACGACGTCTTAATGCATCCTTGCGTTTTTGCATGTGTCTTAGTCATATTCTTGTCAGTTCTTTGTCTCCTCTACCAGATACGTCAGTCATTACTGACCGGGTCATTAAAATCTCGGGTAATGTAATCACACTGAACTCCGAGGAAATTCGTGGGAAGTATGGTGTATGAGGCCCCCAAATGTATGTTGACAATAATACGCGATGTATTATTTAAGGATTTTATTTTATCTGTTAGCAGCAGCATCTGCAGCTGCTGCTGGTGCTGGTGCTGCAGGTGTTGCTGTGATATTGCTGCTGCTGGTGTTTTTGTTACTGCAGCTGCTGCTAGTGCTTATCTACCCCTTTCTATCCCTTCTAGCTATCCTTGCATCATGATTGATCACAGAGGTCAGGTTTCACACCAGGACATGGAAAATAGAATTTCCAGATCCACTAGCGGATAACAGGTGCCTGGTTCCTGTCTCTGCTCTCTATCCCTGATGTTCATCCCAAAGTCCATATATCTCTGAAAAAAGAGGCGTATAATAAATGAGGTCTGCAAGAATCGTCTTAGATGAGCGTCTTGCAAGAAGCAGAAGCCTACACGTACACTAGCCATTCTCCAGTACTACATGTACACCATCTGTTCTCCAACACTACATGTACACCAGTCATTCAGTACTATGTAGTTGGAAGCTCGTGTCTGTCAGTGTGTTGATCATTAATGTCAGAAATTGCTCTCTTAGAGCAAGACTAGCATACAAATAACCCCACTGTAACAATTATAGTCGACCAGGACGGTAAATAGAGACATAACTCACTACAGTTTTTCTAGCTATTTCGTTATTGCTATGTTTACACTGTAAGTTAAAATATTATTAGAAAAAATGTAGCTAATGTCGATTATATTTAATATTTATCAGGTGCTGTCTGTGTGTCAGTTTAAGCATTTAATGAATACTTAGCAATGATTAGAAAAATTGGTTATTTTTTACCACTCAGCGAGTGAAATATTTGACGTCTCTTGAGTGAGAGATGTGGTCAGCATTAATCGTGTAGGAATTTAAATAGTAATCCTAATAGGTAAAAAGAGGATTCGTGCAGAGGTAAGATTTGTCAGGAAATAGGACGAGTGTTTCCTGACGCGGGTCTTAGTCACATGACCCACCGCTGGAGTTAGGGTCATCTGACCGGTCCACCCCTTTAAAAATAATGGTTATGACTGTAACCATTCGTTTGTTATAGAGAATGTTTACCTCTGTGTATAGCTTGAGAAAAACTGCCCAGAGCGAGACGTTCTCCATAATTAAGGTTTACTCTCCACCAAGGTTAGTTCAGCTATACATGTCAGCAGTAACTGCCATTCTCCACTATATAAATCTAAGAAATCGCATATAACATTCCGG